CCCACATGTGATCATGGCCCGATGAAGCTTGAGTTGTGCAGAAGAGCATGCCATGCATTTTGCAGATGCTTCAGTCTTTTTGTTCGAGCTCGGCATGTGCTCTTTCGACTCTTTCGATTGCTGTCAGATGCCAAACAATGTCTTGCACACTTTTTGTAAAAGCCAGCAGGGTTCCCGGGGTCCAGCATTGCAAACTTCAAGTGCATTGAGCTCGCTTTTTTGCTAAACATAACTCAGCCATGGCTGCTCTGATTCCTGAAAAGGTTCATTTTGAACCAGGTGAGGAGGCTAAAAGAGTCTCGAAGGAGCTGGGCAAGGAACCGTCCTTGGTTGCGGCAACATGGAGGAATTGGGCATAGTCATATGTGACTGAGAGTTGTGCTTGCATGTTCTCGTGCCTGAGTATTAGCAAAGCAATCTGAGGCAGGCTTGAATATGGTGGTCGACCCAACAGGCAAACTGTTGACGAAAAGGAAAACCGTTTCACGCAGAGATGTCATCGCCAACCCGCGAGTGCCCTGTCTGATCATATTGTGTCCATGGAGCATACATGTAAAGATCGTGTTAAGCTTGTCGCTCCACATCTGAGGTTATTGCGGCAGCCGTGAGAGGAGGGCTGAAGTCGCGCAGGCGACAGAGCGCTTATATATATTCTGATGCTATCTTGCATTTTGTCAACAACAACAGAATCTTGCCTAAAGGGGTGCTTATAACAGCACCATCCGTTCAGAACTGGGCCTGCAAGTCTGGCCAAGCCGTCCGGAAGCTCGCTGCTGGTCTGAAACCATTGAGTGCAAGGATTCGGTTTGAGCTGGTAGAAGTGTGTTCTTTTTAATTGCCGGTTTTAGCTGAGGTGACCAAGTTCAAGCACCTTGTCCGTCGGGCACGGAGTTCGCATCAGGCCCAGCTCCGGGAATTGAAGACTGAGCTGGCTGGATACTTCAATGCTGGTGTGTCTGGGCCCGTTATTTTTACTTGTGTACTTGGCCCATGCGTGATAGTGCTCTGCCAGAATAGACATGTCGTTCCAGCATGTATAAGGATTCCGAATCGGAGGATGAGGAGCAGAGCGAACTCGCTGAAGATGAAGATGCTGCTCTATCTGTTCTGACTGAGCATGACGAGGAGGATCAGCTGCAATTGCAACCATTTGCTAATTGGGAATTCCCTTGTGTCGCCACTTGCATTAAATTTCATGTGTGCTCGAAGCCTATATACAAGGTTGTGAGTGACAGCTCTGTGGTGACCCCGCCTCCGTATATCCCGGCTTTGAGCGGGAAAATGCAGAGCCTTGTCGTGGAATAGTG